CTCTGTCTCTGGTGAAGCCTCTCGCCGACCCTGAGCCTCTGGCCTGTACCCCAGTTCTGTATGTACAAATAAATAAATCTTTTAAAAAAAATAGTATTTTGCTATAATCCTGGCATGGGAGCAGATTACTTGGGCTTTCTAGGAATTTTTATTCTGTTTTTAACAGGCACCCAAGAGAAAGAAAGGTTTTTTCCTCTTTGTGATCTTGTAGGACAGTATGACTTATGAAGTCATTTTATTGCCAAAATATATAGTCATTTTATTGGCAAAAATGAAACGAAAGGAAAAACAAACCCAAAAAAAATGTAAACAAAAAACAAACAAAACAAAAAGCACATTGTTATATTCCCTGGAGAATTATTTACTTATGGATTTCATGTTATATAAATTTTTTCTTGGATCCTCCCTGGTGGCGCAGCAGGCTAAAGTGCAGCAAGCTGGCTGGAGCTGCTTTAGTAGGAGTTGGATCCCCCACCACGGAGGTGACCCACATGGCATGGCAGACCTCTTCTGACTGCCCACTTCTCCCCTCTACACTTCACTGATCTGCCTGTCCTGCTCTCCACTCTGTATCTGATGAATCCTCTCACCTTTCCTCCACCTCTGGCCTGTACTCCAGTTCTGTATGCATAAATAAATAAAGCTTAAAAATTATTTTTTGCTTTATTTTGAAGTTAATTGCCAGGGTTTTCTGATCATCAGGGCCAAATGAATTCTGATGAATGCTTGCAGGCTGGCTTGGCATCCTAAGAGAAGAACTTCTTTAAGTCCACATGGGCCCTTGGGGTCATTCTTTTTGGAGGAACTTCTATCCCTAAACCAATGTCTCTGGGTCTTGGGCCCAACCCAGAGCTGAGGATTGAGCAGGGGCACACACAAATTATTGAAATGAAAAACAAGAGTCAGAAGAGGATTTGTTATTGAAATAAATGTGTATGAATTCTAGTGAGGCTAAACCAACAGCTGTCCACTATGGTAAGCTTCAAAATTGAGGTTATTTATCAACTTTAATTATTATTAAGTTCTCACTCAGTGGCAGGCACTTTCCTCAGCAGATACGTTTCTCTGGTATTCATTGACAATGCAATGTCTCAGAGGCAAACTATCCAGTATG